AATGGCTGGCATACCAAAAACAACATTTTATAGAAGCAGGAGGAGAAGTCAAATATTGTTGAATAATTGTAATTTTTACCATGAAAATCATATATGTTCTTGTTTATTAACATGTGAGGAACTATATAATTAGTTCTGAAAGCAATTAAACAATTCAAGTTTTCAAATAACAGCTCTTTTATAAATGTCCATTCTAGTGGACGTCAGGACCATCTTCGTGGACTTTATGACTCAATATTGTTGCAGGACACGGAACTGAAGCAGATACCAGATAGTTAAGGGAGATTCAGATGTTGAGCTCTCAGATGATGAGAGAGATGGGGATTTCACACCTGGGATAGAAGAGGGTCAAGAAGAAGGGGGGAAAGATGCAGAAGGCTCCATGAGACACAGACAGAGAGACAGATAGGGACGAGCTGGAAAGACATGGCCCAAGAGTAGCACGTATGTCTTATTGTTGTTTTTGCCTCAGGAATGCAAGCTTTGTTTCTATGAGCATGGTCAAATGGAGACCACATCCATAAAACTAGTCAAGATGACCCTACAGTCCGTGCCGACTGGAGTCAATGAGGTACTTTTCCCACTACATTGACTGCAAAGTCTTTGAAGATCTGGAACTAGTTTTTTATTGACCAAATAAACAGCAATGTTCAGATCAATTACTTATTTATGTTTTAAATAATAAAGGTGAATGTATTATTGTATTAATATGATATCACTCTATAACCATAAAACGTTACATAGTCTATCTGTTAATTTTGGCTGTCTTTTCAATATGGTCCCGACGTCCTCTACAGTGGACATACTGTAACATTTAAAACTACAATTAAATTAAAAAAAGTCTAAATTACAAGATACAAAAAAAAGGAAATTGGAAGACACTTTTTTTCCTCGGGCCCCAGGAGGATATACTCAAAAGCATGTATACCAGCAGCACAGCTAAATTGGTTCTGTATGCTGCACACACCATCGCTGTCCATAGTGTGTGTGGGGGTCATTCAAGAGCAAAGGGCTGCACATTACAGTAGACGGGAGGAGTTTCCAAAACCCGGCGACACCATTGGCCTGGCCCCGCGGGGGTGCTGCTGGGCTCCATGCAGGGTGCAGCGAAGGAAGGGGGCAAAACAAAACAAGTCGTTGAGGACAGGCACCTGCAAGGGTTTCGGTTTGTCCCTGTGAATAATGAGTAACACGGTAAGACAGCCGTCAGCACCTGCCGAAATGTTGTTAAATGTTTTTGTACACTCTTCCGCATCCTTTGAGACCGCTTTCTGTTCACAGAAATCGCTTGTGCGCTTAAAAAGTTAACATTAGAAAGTGTATCCAAATGCTAGCTACACGAACGAAGAAAAACACATACAAATGTTTGTTGAAAGTACTTTAAGCTGAGGCCATTTAGCTGTGAATAGACTTGTAAATAAAACTGAAGCTATAAACTGCTGAAACTTTGGCCAGCTTAAAAACAGTGTCTGTAATGTTGCTTAAAGGTCGCTACCAACCAACTGATATTAACGACTCGGGTCCTATGTTCATAGTTCATAGTTCATAGATAAGGAGTTTGAGTGTGTCTACATAACTAGGAAAAGCCTGGACTCCTATTTGTTGAAAATACATGTTTTAAACGCATAGAAAATGTTTTTTTTATATAAATAATGTTTATAAAATATGGGTTTTCAAAAGAAAAAACACAATAGTTACAATAACATCAACCCCCTCTTTGTTTTACATATGTAGGGTATTTTTTACAGCTCTACAAGAGATGTTTCCTACTGTTACTCTCCCTAAAATACAATGAAGTGTCTCTGTGTGTCCTAAAATACTATCATGTGTGTTATTTTTAGTTGGCCCTGCTTTTCCTGTTGTTTTAACAACCTGTGAAACTTTCCTTTGTATTATTTGTGTTAATTCAGAGGTTGAACAATTAGTAGTATGTGTTTTTGGCAGATAATTTAAGACTTGACTATTTAATATAATAAAAATCTTGCAAGGCAGCACTTAATACCCGGATCCACTTTGTTTATACCAGCAGCATCCAAATTTATGTTTATGTTTTCACTTCTCAGTCGCACGCTATAGCAGATCATCCATGTTGCTACTCTTTCTATTCTATTAAAGGTGTCAAATATTTAAATAACTGTAATGCCTTCAACATGAGTTTGCCTTTCCTCCTCCAGTACAGGGACTCATGTGGAGCAGGGCTGGAAAATGAGGAGGAGTTTGTGGATATATTAGAGGAGCGGAGGCGCAGCAGTGATCTGGGCCATGCACTGCGGACCTTCAGCCCGCACCCTTACAAAGGAGCCGAGTCCTGCTCCAACGCTGACCTCAACAAAGCTGTGCTGGAGTCCCAGTATCTGCGCTACATGGCCAAAGAGGTGGGATAGTGTCATTTAAAAACATAACAAAGACGTTTTCAAGCATTTCTTCATCAAAATTGTCTATTTTCTGCATTCCCATTCAGATAGCCGCTGAGACGGGGTCATCGGTAGAGGAGGTGAGAGAGGAGGCTTGTGGGATTTTGGAGGAAATGTCTCAAAACTTGCAGCTGAAGTGTATCAGGCTGATGGGCTTCACAATGACCAAGGTGTTAAAAAGACTCTACAGCGGCATCTTTGTTAACATGGAAGGACTCAACATGGTAAGGTTGTTAGTTCACACTGAATACTGAGTTCAGAACAACAGAAAGGTATTTAATTATGTGGGTAATAAATGTAAACTTAAAGGCACATCTCCTGTATTTAGTTTTCTTGCCTTTATTTCCCTCAAAATACAATCATTTTAAGTCTCTGTTAAAATGTTGGTTTAACATTTCCCTTCTGTCACCTTGCAGCTCCAACAATCCATTCAGGAGCATCCAGTGATCCTGATGCCCAATCACAGGAGCTATATGGACTTCCTTATTATCTCCTACATCATGTTCACCTACGACATCCCAATGCCATTTATTGCTGCAGGAATTCGCAAGTATCTATTTAAATTAAAACAACAGAATAATATATAGTAAAGAAATACATTACAGAATCCGTAGTTGATGCTCATTTCTCTATCTCCCTCTTTTTATTTCACAATTTCTCTCCCCTCTGAAGCTCTTGCAGGGATGAAGTTGGTCGGAGAGGTACTGCGTCGCTCGGGAGCGTTCTTCATCCGACGTGCGATTGGCTCTGACAAACTGTACTGGGCAGTGCTGTCAGAATATGTCAGAACCATTATAAAGGTAAAACATAAGAATCTGCTTCATCAGCCACGCTCAAACTGTGGTACTCCTTTTGGGAATGACTTCAGCTCAGGAAGCCCTTCTAAATCCATATTTATCAGCTTCTGTATATGATCATCTGTTAAAAAGAATTCAAACTCTGAAATGTTTTTTTTCTTTAGACAGGAATTGCTCCTTTGGAGTTTTATGTGGAAGGACTGCGGAGTCGCACACTAAAGTCCGTGATGCCAAAGCTAGGTGATCATAGTGTGTGTGGGCCCTATTTGGGCCATTGCAGATAAGAACAATAATAAAAGTGTTTATGATTTACGACATTTTTTAACAATGTCGTAAATCATAAACACTTTATTTTGACTTTATTTAAAGTATTACCATCCTCTGGTGGCTGCGTCAGTACTTTTCTTTTCTTCTTTTAAACATTTCCTTTTTTTGTTGTTGACACATTTCAACTTCAGTGTATTATGTACATATTAGTTTAATACTTTTACAGTGGGGTCCATCTTTTTGTACAACAATGACCCTAATACACGGTCGTAGAAAAGTGAAATTGTCTGTTGGCATCCTCAGTGTCAACAATTTGAGTTATTTGTTTCATATTTAATTGTCAATTATTTTTAAGTCACTACATGTTTACATACAAGTACATATTTTTGCTACCTGTGCTGTGGTTGGTCAAAAGTCTGTATTGTTCCCATCCAGATGGCTATAGGTGTCCACAGTTTAATTGTAGTGACTAACAAGGGGGAACAAATGTTGTCTTCATGCATTGCAGTTTTGACACAACTTTACTCTGTCTGTAGGCATGATGCACATGGTGATGGAGCCCTTCTTTAAAGGCGAGGTGTATGACATCACACTGATCCCCATTAGCATCAGCTACGACCGAGTGCTGGAGGAGTCGCTGCTCGCACACGAGTTACTGGGTATCCCCAAACCCAAAGAAAGCACCACGGTACGCCCTGGTCATTTACTCGCTTCACCAAACATTTCATAATCATCTGATTCCAAGAAGCCTCAGCACCTCCCAGCATGCACTGCAATCCAAACTGTTTATAATGAAAGTTAATTAGGTTCAGAATACCCTTGCTGCACCATTACTCCTGCCTCTCTCTGCCTCCATACCAACATGTAATTACGTTTGTTAATTATGTACAATACAGAAAGATATGCATTAATTGTATTTGCAAACAATATGAGTTTGCCTCACTAACTCATTAAAGCAGGTCAGAAGAGTTAATGCATGGATAAAGCTGATTATTTCTTGCTCGTGATTCAATCCCAGCCTTGCCCTTTCCCTGCAGGCTCTGCTGAAAGCTAGCAAAGTGCTCCAGGAAGATTACGGCAGCATGCATGTGAACTTTGGCCGTCCAATGTCTGTTCGACATTTGTGTGAAGGCAAGATAAACCGCTGCCAGTACAACCTCGTACCAAGGTAGAACAAAGTCCTTACGTAGAGTGTTTACAGTCTAAACTAAATCAAATTTAGTCAAAACAACATTTAATGCAGCCTGAATAAAGCAATATGAACAATAATTGTTCAATAAACATATGGTATAAAAGCCCTGAAAATTGAAAAAAATGGAAATACTTCCACCCCCTAACTCCCCTTGTCCCTTTTCCTCTATCCACAGGGACCTTCCTCAGAAGCCCAGTGCAGAGGTTCAGGCCTGTGTGAGCTGGCTGGCTCATCTGATGGTCAGGGTCCAGGAGGAGGGCTCTGTGATGGGCCCCTGGGCTCTGATGGCCTGCCTGCTGCTCCAGGCTCCCACCAGAGTCCTAACAGAGGAGGGTCTGCCCTGGCAGGAGCTCACAGACAAAACCCTCTGGCTCAGGAAGCTGGCGCTGGATTTTGGGGCTCGCCTGAACTGGCCGAGTGGGCAAGGTTATAATAGTTTAGAATTATACTTACATTTAGTTTTAGGTAATTTTGTGTTTGCTGGTTTAAGTTTAGTTTTCAGAAATGTTGTTCTGATTTGACATAAATTCATGTCCCTTTTCCCTGTAGGAATACATTGTAGCTTAAAAAAAAGCAAAACATTGAACACATTTAGGCTTCTTAATAATAAATAATAATAATAAAATAAGAACCAAGAAAAGAGAGGAACATTTTATTTGTTTTGTTTTATTATGTTATTTTAAAAGTAGGCAATAGGGGTTCCAGTAGAAATGATTCCAGTTTAATTCATCAAAATAGATATCGTTCTTATTTAGTTTCACTTTTTTGGTTTGTTTACTTGTTACTTGTTAACCATGCATCAGCACAATATTGTTTTATATCTTCTGTAAATATTGAAGTGCAGCTGCATCATGCTAAAAATGATGGAATTAAGTCCTCTACATTCAGCGGGCCTTTTGAAGGAGGTTTAATTCAAGCTCCCTTGAACAACCAGTAGGTGGCATTTGTATGCTGCTCTACAATTCACCTCCTAGACAAAGTGATGCAGACATTCAAACAGAGTTGTATTTGTCGGAGTCTCACCTCGGGACACTGAAGACTCCTCAGACCCTGCTTTAGATCAGACAGATTAGATGAATGCGAGGTGGCACTCGTATTCACATTCACTTAGGAGATGTTCAGTGGATTATTGCACCTTAAGTAACTTATCCTAAGAGGACTCCACTGAACTGTCTCACTTTACAGTTCTTGTTTGTGTGTGCAAATGCAGGCGAGTAAACACACAAACACATAAATACAATACAAACTATTCACGACACGTTTTGTTTTTACAGGACAAGCCCCTGATACGGATGTGATGTCATCCACGGTCGCCCTTCATGGCTCTATAGTTAACCATAAAGCCGGGCGTGTCTTCCTGGTTCAGGAGGAAGAGCCTACGAGAAATCGCCCAATCAGCCCAGAGGAGAAAATGATCAGCACGGCAGCGGCGGTGCTGATGCTGGCTTCCTACAGGAATATGTCTCTGCACATATTTGTTCGTCCCGCCTTGCTCGCAACGGCCTTACACATCAAAAAGACCACACAAAAAGGTGATGGTTGAACGAGATATAATTCAAGATCTCTAATGTATTTTCTTCTCGTTTCATCCTGATCCATCATTCCGTTCACAGACGAGCTCCTCGCCTTCTTCTGCTTCCTGCGGGACGTCTTCTCAAACGACTTCATCTTCATCCCTGGAAATTCGTCTCAGGTAAATGTCCTCTTCAGATTCCTTCGGGCATCGTAGGGCGAAGATCCCAGAGAGGATTACTGTCCTGTCAAACAGTGGTGATATAATGAGGAGTGAAAACATGATCACGGCTCTGCTTCTGACAAACATCATCAGGCTTAAGTCAGAGCAGAGTCCCAGGTCAGGTAGAGGAGTGTGTTTTGGCTAGCATTGGAAGTTATCTAGTAGCTTTTCGAGAGCTTCAAGTATTGTAAGCTAATTGTTAACAGTTTATGAGTTTATACACTTAAAAAAACCTAATCGAGAACATTTTCAGTGTAAAAGACAAAAATATAGGATTTTTTGTTGTTGTTGATATTGTGTGTTTCTGCGTGTTGATTCTATCCCTCCATTGATCAGGACTTTGAGGAGGCGTGCTTCCTCCTGAAAAAATGTGGAGCAGTCCACGTCAGTGAACAGGAAGTGACGGTGTCAGTCGCCGGGCTGGAGGTGTTGTCCTTCCTGCAGGCACTGCTACAACCCTTCATAGACTCCTACCAGGTGCTTTGACTCTTTCCTCCAGACGGACAGGGCTGTATCTGCCTCTGAGGACAGTGAGGTCATGGCCTCTGTTTATGTTCTGGGAATCTGAGGGTTTAGTCGCTCGTAGTTAACATTAAGCAGGTGATCTTGTTTTTATTCTGATTCCAGTTTTGTTGTTGTTGAATACTTTAGGTAACAAAAATAAATGATTAACACAACTAAGTCAGATAATACAATTGTCCTCTTTTGTAGTGTGGGAAAAAAATAGGAGTGCTTTATTCACATAAAAAATACATTGTTTACTAATTAGAAGTAGAAGTAGTTGATGACCGATCTTTAAAATACAACTTGCAGAAAGTATTTTTAACCTGCTCTTTCATCTGGTGTAATTTTTTGAATTTTTATTCAATTAAAGTAGTAAATGTAATGCTTATTTTGTGTTAAATGTATATTGTTACTACACCCATCTTTACGCTGGAGATTTTAGTTGAAGGAAACTAAATAAAATGACTAGTTGTTTTCTTTGATAATCCTTGAAGTGAAAGTCTCACTGGTACAACCTTGTCAATCTTTGCTAAAGTAGAGTGGGCACTGGTTAAAAGTTACTAATCTAGGCTTTAACTCAAATTCAATTTTGGTCTTTAAGTAGTAAAAGTATGTCTTTTTTAATTGATCAGGTGTGCTTTCATTTCCAGGTGATATTCAGGTACCTCTGTGAAAACGAAGTTCACGTGTACGCTGAGAAACAGTTCCTAACTGCTGTGCGAAACCTGGCTACAGAGCTCATCCTTTCAGGTGAAACAGAAAGTGACCTCTGACCTTCTACAAACAATCTCCAGCTGTGTCCATCAAATAATTCCCTATCATTTTCTCTGTGAGTTTCAGGTGAACTTCACACCTACGAAGCACTGTCGTCTGACACACACAAGAACGTGTTGTCGGCCCTGCAGAGACTGGACAGTCTGACAAAGTCGAGGGCGTGAGTAACGAGATTAGCACCTGTTTGGTTTTAAGCTCATTTTCTGAGGTGCCTGAGAAGCTGTCTGAATTTCTGATGCCAGAGTTAAGACTTCCCCTTTTTGTTTTCTCACCGCAGGTCTGAGCAGAATGAATACACGGTGAATAAAGCAGCTGTCAGAAGAATCGATGACATACTTTGTAAGTCAGTTAACTTGAAAATACAAGTTTGTATTTGAAGGAATTTGGGATAAAGTTGTGTATTTAGATCTTGTCCTGACTGTCCTTTCGATGTATGAGATTTGGTGTTTGTTCTTGGTTTTGTTTACCCCTCCAACCGAGTAATTTATTTATTTTCTTTCTCTTTCTTTTCTCACTGTAGCTGGGAAAATCCCCCCCCAGATGCTCCACACCACACCTGAAGCAAAACTCTAGCCTCCATTGGAACAGATCCAATCTTCAGTATCTCTGTTTCCTTGTTTTAATTCCTTACATTGATAGGGTGACCCAAGGTTGACTGTATGGCTGATTTTGGTAAATGGCCATTGTCAGTGTTATTCGATGAAGAAAGGTGTAAGTGTGACTGATGCAATAGTGATGCCTGTGATTTAATATGCTGAACTCAAACTGATTTCAATCAGTTGCATTGTATTATTATGTTTTTGTCTATTGCTAATTGCAAAGGCTGCCATGTATTATTGAGGAAAAATGAATAGAGCACTTTAAAATAACTTGACTGATTTATACTGATAGTTGACATAGGACAGAGTATGATTTATGGCACTTGATTGTATAATGAATAACGTACCATTAAAGAAAAAATAATCTAAAAACCATATCCCATCACAGATTAGTTTGAGACATTTAGTTTTTATTTATGTCAATAAGTGTAAAACAGATGTAACAAAATGCACCATACATTCTTGATCTTCTCCTTTTTAATATCTTTTCGGTTTGTATAAACCCCCAACAACAGCGAGCAATAACCAGAGGTCAAAGTTCAACCTCCTGTCACTGCCTGTACTTGTAACCCCTCAGCAGTTAAAGGCATTGTATTTGCAAATTCCCCATTATGCTGTTTTACATGGATTATCTATACACAGGTGGTACGTCAACTTTGATGCGTAAAGCGCTGACGGGGTCTTGACAAAACACCGAGATGTACTCCAACACTCTTGAATTTAGCTTTTTCTCGCCCTCTTTGGCTCGGTGCCGCTCTTTGTCCCATCTATCCTTCTCGCCGTTCATTTGGGAGAACAGGTTGACCTGGATGGTATGCAGCGTGGCCGCCAGCACGTAGAACCCCCCCTGCAGCATGTGGCAGAAAGCGGAGCCCACGCTCAGCCCCGCGCCCATCAGGTTAGGGATCGTCTCGCACACCACGCACAATCCCTCCAGGAAGTGCAGCGTGCCCTTCCTGCCCAGCGGCTGGCCGTGGTGGAGCAGACCAACGTCAAGGGGAGAGGGGGTGGGCCGCTGGATGTGGTTCACCATATATCTTGCGCAGTCGGCGAAGTGCGTGGCGGCACGGCGCAGCGGGAGGAGGGCCAGGTACAGGTGACATGCTGCTTTGGTGAGCGCGTGGAACAGCAGCCGCAGCTCGAGCACAGCGTTGCCTGGAGATAAGAGGGTAACGGGGTCAGTTGGAGTCTAATTTAACACCCTGGCTAATGTCAGCAACCATTACAAACAGCGTCTGCCCCTGGATTAAAGTGATCATCAGCCATGGCTAACACCTGAGCACGCGAAGTGGGTGGCACGGGGCTTCACCACGAGCCCCTCAACACGGGACCACTCTTAAATAAAATAGTTTAATCTTTAAATCATAATTCCGTATGTTGCAGTTTCACTTTTGTCAATATTTATGTCTTGGAACAAATTCGCATGAAAACAGCAGAGCTTTCAGTGAAAATTGCTAAATGACATTATTTTATATCTCTCAAAACATTCTTTTTAATTTAAGCAAACCAATGGTTTTGACTCATTTAACAAGGCCTTATTTCTTAGATTAAGCCTACTCTACGCAACATGGCCTGATTTACATTTGAAGTATGTCATGCTTTGCTAGACGTCCTGTTTATTCTGATCATGCTAAAATGGTGTGCAAAATGAAAACATCACTAACATAACCCAGTGTGCAAACCTTTAATCGCGTTTTATGATGGATTCTTAGCAAAACTGCAATGTTACATATTTGTAGCTTAATGTTTATGATATAATTTGTACCCAAACTACAAATTATGTAGCCACATTTTATGTAGACATAAAACTAGTCTTATTTCTGATACTGTGAATGTATGACAGCTGTTTTCGCCATAAGGTAGGCTACTAGACAGGTGGCTTCCTGAAGAGCTTCCAAATATCCCCTAACCTACATTTTCCCTTACCGTCTATAAAGCATAATATCCACAGCAGGGCAGTGATCGCTGCCAACGAAGTCCACCAGTCCATGTGGTCTCCCCCCTGTCCTGGACTCGTCAACGAAAGGAAAGAGAGCAGCTACAATCCCCAAGTTATGATCTGGCCAAGCCCTGCTCTGCCTTTACGCAGCTAATACCCAAACATTAAGTAGTCGCATTCTCCGCAGGAGCCTTGCAGCCTGTGCGCAACATGTTGAAGGTGCACCTGTCCACGAGCGCATTAGGAACAAGTTAAAACAACTTACTGCACCTTATAGTGTCGCACAGAAAATGGCACTCCTTTACTACCATTTTTGCAATTAGGAATGTCTTTAAACATTAACAACAGAGTAAACCTAAAAAAGTATATTAATTTCCCTCGGCCTATGTCCCATATCATTGGTTTACCCAGGCTAGATAAACAGTCTGCCTCCAAGTTTGTCTAGACACATGTAAGTGCCAGGAGACATCACCTTGCCTAAAATAGCTATCTGTGACTATTTTAATGAAGGAAAACATCAACAATGATTATTGGAGTTATACAGTAGTTGGGTGTATTGGAAATGGCATGACGTTGCATGGCATGTTTATTTTCACTTTTTAAGAACATTTTTAAATGTAACATTTTTGTATTTTCTTAAGGCTATACCATATTGAGAAAAATGTATTGCAATACATTTTCAAATAAAAATGGAAATTTGTATTAAACAATCATTTAAAAATATAATTAAAACATACTAATGAATAATAATAATAGAGCAAAAGTAGTAATATTAAAAATAACATATAAAGGAATAAGACGTAGCCTAAATAAGTTCACAATTTCAAGACGTATGCACACTGACACAGACAATATTTCTGTTTGCCGAAATATGTAATTATTTTTCACACAGAACATGTTGTTCATATTAAACTAAGGAAACTAAGGAAGTTATGGTGTCGTATATCAGCTTGTCTCGCGCTGAACCCCGCGTGCGTCTTTGCTCGCTTGTGAGACGGTGTCATGGCAACGTAAACACCTTAAGACGGCAGGACACCTGAAGGAGGCCTCTCCTCTTCCCCTCCTTTCCTCTCCTCTTCCTCTCCGCGAGTCACCGCCTCTGCTGGAGCCAGTCTCAGGGGACAGCAAAGGTTAGCAGTCGGTACACTTTTTAAAATGTTACAACGTGTGTTTTATGTAGAGTCTGCTATCTACTCTTGTGCCCACTTTTCAGGGGCGCTGAGGGAGGTCGCGACTTACGTTACTTAGCGACCCTATGAACTTTTTTTTAATAATGTTGTATTATAATATTGTCAGCGGGACACCAGTATTTTCTTAATTCACTAATTCTGCCGTTTTTTTTCACGAACGTCTGACCAAAACGTCCTCACTGCAACACAGGTAAGAACACTTACACATACCATTACCATGTCATTCATATTCAATGTTACTGCTTGAATAATATGTTGAGCATGTAGCACACTGACTGTAGATTCAGGTCCTCCAGAGCTCGAAAGTAACAATTAAGTATATTTACTCAAATACGTAAGTACATTTTTAATATACATGTACTTTACTTGAGTATTTCCATGTTATGCTACTTTTTACTTCTAGTCATTTTTGATACAATTTAACTAACGTATTATGATTGATTATTATGGATGGCAGTTTTAAAAAAGTAATTCAGGTTCTCTCCACCTTCACCAGCTGAACACGTTAATAGATAACTAATAATAGATAACAGATTGAGTAGTTGGCTACATTTTGCTGCCAATACTTACTGAAGTAACATTTATTTTAAATGCAGGATTTTTTCTTGTAACAGAGTATTTCTACACTGTGCATGGTTGTATTACTTTAACTTCAGTAACATCTGAGCACTTGTTCCACCTCTGGTCAGACCTAAAAGCAGGTTGTCACCGATGGCTTAACTTTTCTCATGATTTAGGGATGAGCACAAAGAAGAAGAACACCCCCAGTGGTGTGATCACCTTCCACACACATTTTCCTGTCGGCCTGCTGAAATCAGAGGTAAAAAACGTTCACGCCAACTCATAATGTATCACTGGTCTTTAAATGTCAAGAGCTACCTAGATACGGTAGTGCACCCTGGTCAGCATGGGGTACAATACTTTTCCATTTTCTCCTTCCATCTCTTCATATCTGAATGTACAATGCTGGAATCTCAGTGTCCTTGGAAAGATGAATGGAAAGGTTTCAGGTTATTGACAGATAGTTGCTGTAGCCACTGTTATCCTCTCTTGACTCAGGATAATAGAAAAAAGGGCCTGTGGAGGGGTCAGGTGACATGCAGCTGAACAAACTAGCCGAGCATACAAATGGTTGTTACAGACAGACAACAGAAAGCACAGCAGGAGGGAAGCTGCCATTGATGTTTCAGCTGATACAAAAAAAATCCTCATAGTGCACAGACATGTGTCCCAGCGTGGTGTTCACGTAACAGTGAGCTGCAGCTCAGGTTTCCAGGTGGTGACGTGATCTGTCAGAGCCTTTTCTGTTCACCTGCAAGAGTGTGTCTGGTCTGTCTGTGAACTCAGGCCGGGATTTCTGAGTATATCCTTTCTGATACGCCAATATGTTTCCCTTTAGTTCAAGAGCGATGTATATTTATTTTATTAATTATTCCTTTGTTCACCTGGCTTGAACAAGGTGATGTGAGACTGTATTTATATATATTTTTTTTTTATGTAATAGTATATCTTTATTTCCATACTTATATTTAAAAAATCGTAGTTTTTCACTAGTAGCCGTTTTGTTGGTGAGGGGGTTATTTGTTGTTCAATAATACTAAATAACTAATAAATGTGGATATTTTTACATGTTGAGAAGCCAATAAATACAGTACAAAATTACTTATTGTCCACATGAAGCATGCTGCAATTTAAGTTTATAAACATTTTATTATAATTCCGGTATGCTATGCTGTTATAACATGTGTTCCTACTGTATAAATGCTGGTATTTGCTATTTAAAAGAAAATCCAAGGATACTCTGCAAACAGCATGTTGTGTTTATTAAGGACAGTTACAGAATTGACCCTATGGTGTTTCAGGAGCGCATGGTGGATGTTAAGGGCACAACAGAGAGCCGAAAGACCCCCATGCAGCCAAGCATGAGTATGAGGAGCCCCGGTGAATGTGTGAGAGCAGAGGAAAGCGAGGAGGCCTCACCCTCTGGGTCAAAGCTGGGGGGCCAACAGGGATGGCTCTCTCACGCCTCCCTCAGACGACTGCAGGTATTGCACACATCCAAACTCAAACCTGCACAAAGAGAGGGTGAATTTTCCAATGCATGCTTTACTTTTTAGGGAAATATGGAGGCTGAAAATCAACAGGTGAAGGAAATAACCCAACCATTACTGGATACAGAAAATGGTTTTGTGAAGGTAAGATGCTGGAGCACAATTTTTTTGTCTTAATTTACAGTTTCTGTATTTAAAACATGCAGCTTTTACAACTTTTATTCATCATTGTGTTACAAAAAAGGCCTTGAATCTTTAATTATGTATCTGTATCTCCCACCTTGGTTTAAACATGTCTTCATTTAGGAGTTGGAGACGTTTCTGATCAGACAGGACTTCACAAAGCTGAGGAGGAGGGAGATGCTTCACAAGCGCTGGACTGAGCGTGTGTGGTTTCCCCTGCAGAGGAGGGTGGAGGAGCACGTGTCCAGCTGTGGCCCCGCGGTGTGCAAAAGCCGCCAGAGCCTCTACAGTCACTTCCTCCATCACTGCAACACGAAGGTGATGCTCACCTCTGGAAAGAGCTTTGGTCTTGTTGTCATTTAGGGTTTTTAAAGGTCCCCTCTTTTTCATCAATATATTACAGGTCTCAGTTATATACAAAACATGTCTCTGAAGTGTTTGGCTCCAAATACCAAACAGATCATGAATTATAGCATCCCATAATCCCCTCTGTTTCAGCCCTGTTTCAAAAGTGCTGATTCTCTGTCTGTTACTTTAGATGAAAACAAGGATCCACTCCCCACGCCCCTCTGAGAGATATTTGGCTAAAAAGAACACAATGGTGGAGGAGGGGGGGTGTTGCCTTGGTTGGTGATTGGCTAATGGTTACACAAGCCAAAAAAACATTATGACATCATAAAGTGGCCAAAATCTGATCAGCTCATTTTCAGACAGGTTTTTATACCAGAACAAAAAGAGAACAAATCTTTTTTCCTGAAACTTTCAGAATGTCTTTACACCGAGGGGACACATGTTTATGTATAAAAGACATGAAAAAGTGGATTTTGCATAATAAGTGACCTTTAAATGATGCATAAGACTTCACACACACACACACACTTTGGTGTTTGTGCTTTCACTACAAAAACACACAAAAGACTATCCAACTAATGTCTTTCATCTTCAGGGCTTTGTGTTTCTAGAACATTATGATCTAAAGGAATACGATCCGTTTCTTCTCCGCATCAAAAAGCAACGCTACCTCAACGTGAAGGTGATATTTTGTAACTGAAATGTTTTGCTAAATATATATTAAAAAGCAACTTTTGACACACTGAAGAACTGCAAATGCTACTGATGAAGTATTCTCTGATTTATCCCCAGCTCGGTACGGAAGACTTAAAGGAGCCATTGTGCCTTCAGTTACATGAAAGACTGAAGGAGAAGAGAACAGCCTCTTCTTGTGAAGCAGGTATTTTTCTTCTTTGAACCAAAAGGAAATTGAAGGCTTGGTTTAAATTTGAGCTGAGATATCCACAGTGGTCCACAATTTGGGGAAAGTGAGACTATATTACTTTTAAAAGAGGAAATAACACATTGTCCCTGTTACAAATGAGAGCCATATTCACAAGTAGTCAAAAGCACCCTTTCTTAACTTCATACACTTTTGTTGCTACAGCCTTATTAGCTTATTGCGGCAAATTTTAGCTAACCACTTTCCCTTTTGCTTTAGGATGTAGATACACAAGGAGACAAGTAGAGAAGCTACCTCAGAGCAACATCCTGCTACAGGCCTTTTCACATCATCCAGTCACTGCAGTCAGAAACACTCCAGTGGTGAATGAAACTGGAGGAAGGAAGTCTAGCAGGTATACAGTATGATGAGATGTTAAACTATATTTTCAATTACCTATATTGAGTTTGGGTGTCAAACTCAATTTCATCGCGGGCCACATTATGGTTGAGCTCAAAGGGCCGGTTGTAACTTTAAGACTATATAAATACACATACATAAATATATAATATAATGAATTATATTACATTATTGCCTGAATTATTATCGGATAGGGTGTTAACTTCATAATGAACTACGTCTGTTGGCAGAAGTCTAGGGCAAATAATTGCAACGTATTATATTCTTTGCAAGCTCTTACGGGCCACATAAAATGAAGTCCACGGGCTTTGAGTTTCACACCCCTGCCCTATAGGATGCACAATGATTATGTAACACAGCTGCAGCATAATGCCTCATAAAGGGATATTTGAGATGTTGTGAAGTGGGTTTGTATGAGGAACTTATAGGTACTTAATATAACGCCAATTCCTTTCAGGGTTGCATCTGTTAAATTAATGTGTGCACATTTTTCGTGCAAATGTCTCTCATGCAGGTTCGTCAACATACCGTACCGGATCAGTTCCACCGCCACACCGGATGGAAGGTGCCATAGGAACGGTTGATTTGCCTCCAAATGTGGATGTCAGCAACAACCAGCAATTTTAAAACAACACCAGTCCTTGGTTACATCGAAATAAAACCCATATTAACGCATCTTTACCTTTCTTTCTAACTACCTCAAATGTTACCCCAGGCACTAAACCTGGGAGGGGGATGTGTGGGATTAAATGGACACCAGGAAGGTGTTGAGAGTAGAAGTGAAAAGCAGTGAAAAATTCACCATAAAAAAAGCGAGAGCTAAGTGGCATCTGTACATTTTAATAATGCCATTTTCAGGATCAAATGGCATGCTTAAGATCAACTTTTGACATACAGACATTGTACAGTAGTGTGCAACATTTACAAATGTATTACTAATGTGTTATAAAACCATTTAGCAAATGTAACTGTGGCCAATTGCATTCACATTTAAGCTGGTCACCTAAACAGTTTATCCAAAATATATTACCCCATCATTAGTTTGTCATTTTCCATATTTGGCCAGGTCTACTTCCCTTTCAGATAAAGGGTGTGGGTGGCTTAAGGCAGTGACGTAAAATCAAGAGTTTTTCAAGGCAACCCTGGTGCTGCTACAAATAGGCACTTTTTAAAGTGAGTGGCTGCAGTGTGTGTGTTTTGTCCTCATTTGGTCGGCTCGTAAAGCTGCAGGTCCAGTTTGACCCAGACTTCTCCAGTTGGGACTTCATGCAGTAGAAGGCGTCGGTTTGCGGCACCTTTGCTCTCCATCTCTTTCTTTATAGTCGCCACGGGAACCTCAGTACGACCAAGGAAATCTAGGAAACAGAACAGTCATTTAGTTACACCTCTTAAATTAATAACTCTTTTACTTTTTCTTCCGTAGTAGTCAGAAAGTCAAACGCAGGCCTTAGAACAATTTATTGTGTGTGTGTGTGTGTGTGTGTGTGTGTGTGTGTGTGTGTGTGTGTGTGTGTGTGTGTGTGTGTGTGTGTGTGTGTGTGTGTGTGTGTGTATCGTATCGTATCCACTGACCATCAGGTGAGAACTGGTCCTTCTCGAACACGGTGATACACAGGATGTCCTGGTAGAGGTCTTTGATGAAGAACTGGCAGTTGAAGTTCCACTTTGGGTTCAGGGTGTCGCTGGCGGGCCGGGAGGTGTAGCACTGAGCCCCCATCGTCAGCTCACAGTACGGGTTGCTCTTACCTGGGGGAAACATAATGTGTTTCAATTTAACTCAAAATTACTTATGCTTATGAATACTGTATTTAACAATTCACTGGTATTCCTCACCATTGGGTTTACAGGCTTTGAGCTCCTGGGCTTCAGCGACAGTTACCAGCAGGCGGCCGATACCGCTGCTTTTCAGGGAACGAGCTGAAACAAACACACACACATTAAAAATGGGCCTACAACATTAAGTGTTCATTCAAATTTTACATTTTAATAATCAGGGAGCAGGATATGTTTTTGTTTTTCTGAAGGAATCGTAAGGTTACATTTTTTAACAAATGTATATTTCAGCTTTTGCAAACATTACACTACATGGAACTTTAATATTTCTCATTCAATCTTATCTGTGCATCCAATTGTTTCTTCAGTTTAGCCTACATCACAACATAACAACATCATAAATTAACCAACCATTTGAAAATTGCTAATTTAATTCAATTAAATTGCTATTAATGGGGTGACAAGTTTTACCAAATCACGAGGTAATCAGAGGAGGGTGTTTCAGGGGTTTCCAAGGCGAGAGTAAGTAAGAACATGTGAATGTGTTTACCTTGGTAAGCTTTCTCTCTCTTCTTCTTCTCCGTCTCTATGAAATGTTCAGAAGCTGCTTTGATTTTCTGGACCCACGTTGTTCTACCGACACAATAAATACATCCATCTTTTACACAGTTTGATTATCTTATGGATATAAATGTTGTGCATGCATACCTCTCGTTCAGGGTCTCAGTTTTGAGCGTATAGACACGATCGATGTGTGAGACGTGGAAGAGTGGCTCATCGCTCGAGGGGTCCGCTGGCATTTTCACCAAAACCTCATTTAGAAACAGAGGCTGGAGAAGAACAGAAGGTCAATCATAGGAAGACTGCACCTAGGCACTGATTCATATATAATCAAAGTAGTATTTCATATAATTCTGTGTGTGAATACTGCTTGGCCTCTCTCTTACTGTTTTGTACATCTTCAGCTGTATGTTGGTCTTGAGACTGAATAGCCTGTCTGGCCCCGAGGAAGAGAAGGGTTTGGCGCTATGCGTGAGGAGGAAGAAATCATTGAAGAGGAAAGCCCACAACTCCCTGCTGCTTTTGGTTTTGTAAAGTCGGCCACTGTGCAGCAGCTTGCGAGGCCCGAGGCAGTTCGTCAGCGAGTTGAAGACCAAGTGCTGGAAGAGAAAAGGCAGGACTGAGGAGAGATGAAGGAAACTATCAAGTACAGTGAGGGCTGCAGTGAAAAATGCTCCCTGCCTCTGCTACTGCTACTGTATGTGTTCATTTGTTTTGGTAACAGACTCATTCATTCTGATGTAGAGGAGAAGGGAAACCGCAAAAAAAAGGTTATGATAGAAGTATCGAGAAGGAGCTATTACAGTGCTACTGTATACAACATGCATTGGGGGAGGTGTTTATTACTGCACTTCATAGCAACAATATGGATATTTTTAGACTTCTACGGAAGGAAAGTGTGATTATTATTATAAGTGTGATGTGAACCGTTTTTTTCTCATGAATATATGCCTCAGGACCATGTTTATTTTTGTGGAATAATATTGTTATGTTTCTTTCATCCGCTACCACTTGTTTTAAAAATAGGACTTTTTATTTATTCATTTGTTTCATTTCTATGAGCACCCTACCACAAGGTACATTTTGTATTAGTAAGTTATGCAGCAATACCCTCATGTCTTTTTGTGTCTAGAAATATATTTGACTCATAGAAATACATGAACTTTGTGTTTAGAGTGCATGGAAACATATGAATTCACCCTGAAGAAAAACAAGTTTGTAGTCCTAATTACAACATCTGTGTCCAAAATGAGTATTACAACAACAAAAGCAATAACATTATCCAGACACAAAAATAAATCTCTTGCCAAAGAATTCCTAGGTGAAAAAAAAGATGAATAGACTTTTTTAGTTTCAGAGATGAACTTAGACGGGTCATTTAAAAATGATCTTGTTCTTAAAGATCCCATGACATGGCCATTTCTACTGATCATAATTCCATTGTTGAGGTCTACTAGAATAGATTTACATTGTTCAATGTTCCAAAATGACATTGGTTTCTCATACAGCATCTCTGTATAGCATGTGTATTCACTTTCTGTCCTAAACGGCTTGTTGGAGCTCCTGCCCCCCCCCCTCCCTGTGAGCCCACTGTGCTCTGATTGGTCAGCTCGCCCACTCTGTTCTGATGAGTCCACTACCGTTACAGCGGAACATCAGTGATTATGTTTTACAATGGCGTTAGCAACCAGAAAATGACACCAGTAATGACAAACAGATGAGAATGCTGCGTGGGGTCTGGGTGCCGTGTTGGCGGGACGTTGCGGGGCTCGCGGCTGCTGCTCCGCCCTTTGAGGCTCGGGGAGCAGACAGTGTGAGCTGGGTTACTGGTGTCGTCTCCTGGTTGCTACGTGGGGTCTGNCTCACAGCCAGGCTGTTCGCCACACACTCACAGCCTGAGAAAAGATAAGGCTGAGTGAGTGTGTGTGTGAGGAGCTCCACGGATTGGTCCATTTGGACCTCGGCATGGTTATGTCACTGTACCCAGGAAGAAAACAATGGAAAAAGAAAAATCTCCAACGAGGCGTTCTGGGCCAGCATAGACAGGTCTTTTCTGTGTTAGAGTTTTACTCGCTACAGGGTGTACTTTGTGGGTTTGGGACTTTGCAAACTGTTTACATGCAGAAAAAGCTACATAGCACACAAGGGGACGGGTTATAACCGGAAACGCACGACATGGGACCTTTAAGTCATAAAAAAAAGAGAAAAATGTATAATAGACTTCCAAACGTTTTATTATAATATTCTTCCAAGTGAATATTATAAATGATCTTATCTGCGTGTGTTTACCTCTATAGTCCCCTCACTCTGCACACGTCTCTGAATCCACTCCAGCCTGTCAGAGTTCTCCTTCTCCCGCACCCCCTCGTTGACCTGAGTGCACAGCTCCTCCGCCCCCTCCAGAGCTTCTCTCAGCGGGCCGCGGTCCGCATGATTATCAGGGGTGTGCTCCAAGATCTGACCCATAGGAAGAGGCACGGAGAGACATGCAATAAATATCAGAAAAATGTGGTGGATCCAGAGCATATCAAGTTATAAAGAAAGCATTTTTCTACATACGTTCTTTATGAGCAGGGGGTAGCGTGTGATCCTCTGCATGGGCTTGAGGAGGAAGCTGGACAGTGGCATTCCTTTGCAGCGGTAGTTAGTGGCTATCTTCTGCTCAAGAGGAAGCAAACAGTAAAAGAGAGAACATATTTTCTTTTCTTCTCAGAACCCTGTCAGTTTTGTCCCTTTGGTTTTTTTCTTTTAATATGACCATCCATTATCTGCAACCTTTACCTTGAGGAAGTCTTTAAAGTCCTGCTGGTCTTGGGTTTTGCTCTGCAGCAGGGCGGCTGCGTTGAGCTGGCAGGAGCAGAAGCTGATGTAGGCCTGCATGTGTGCGAGCTCCGAGGCCAACAGGTCCCCGATCAGCTGGACCGGCATGTTGTCTCCTTCTGTCTTTTTACGGACACGCAGCGCCCTGGGAAACACGGATGATGATGGTATAAAGCATGATTTTTGTTACATCTTTATTTAAAGATCCAAATCTGTTTTCCAGTAGATTTTTCCTTAAAAAGGGACAATTCAATCTACAGTGATACGGGAAAGAAAATAGCTCCTACATAAAACTGAGTAACTGGGTCATGATTTCTGGGAAGAGACAATGTTGTGGATTTCTAAACATGAAGATAAAGGCAGACATCTCTACGGCTGATAGCACCAACCTACACCATAACATCTAAATTGATTAATAGCAATATAGATAAGGGGAAACAAATATTTTATTTTTTATTTAGGGTGAACTGTCCCTTTAAATATATGTTTTCTTTGTGCACTTCCTCCTTTTAGCACATACGAAATTACAATTTAAGAAGCAGGGTATATTAACGAAATGAATGCTTCTAAAAGGCAGTGTGTGGTACCTACTTGAGAAGCTTGGTGTTAGACATAATGAGCTCCCTCCAGTTAACAAAGATTATTCCCATCTCAACTTCAGTGAGTCGGCCTGACTCAGACATGGGTTTGTAGAAGACCTGAGTGACAGATTTTTGCAAATGGACATTAATTAAAATGAAACACTATAGGAAATTCCAGTGCCTGTATGTTTATGTTCGTCCGTACTTCAAGAACCAGCTCCAGGTCTTCAACGTAGGTCTCTTCAGTCTGGATGAGCTCATGGATGTAACCCTGCCTCTTCCTCTCCTGAGGGGTCATGGTGTCCAACGACATCAGGTCAGCACACCCTACAGCGAACAAGCAAACATGCACAAACACACAAGCATGTGCATGTGCATGCACACAAACACTTTCCTGTCAATCACAGATACAGTGTCCGAGGAAAAACACGACACACTATGCATGTTAAAATCTCCCTTTATTGTCAGTTATATATTTCTATTTACATTTAATGCACAGACAAGTGTGAGGCACGTTGTAGTTGCAGTACATGAACTAAGGGAACATAGCAGGCGATGCTAACGCTAAGAACTCTGCTACCAAGGCAATGAATTAAAGAAAAATTAAGCACCTTTCATGGTGGAGCGCTCACTCCAAATAATTGCATAGGTGTGAATGAGTAAAGAAGCTAATCCTCTAGGGAAAGAGCGGTGGAAGACTCAGTTGAAGTTCAAACTTAGCAGAATGTTGAGGTAAATGTCAGCAGTGTAGTGTCATAATCTCTGAATCTACTCTTACCAGCTAGTATGCTAATATCTGCGTGTTTGTTCTTTTTGCTGGTGATATCACAGTTCATTATAGGATGACCTCAACCTTAATCACTTGGAAGCATTAATAGATGGAGAAGTGCATAATAAGTGGATAATAAAATCACAATTCATTTGTTTGAGTAAAGCATCAGCAAGCAGCAATCAAGGTCATTGGTGATTTAAGCAACAGCGAGTCTTTACATTGGTCCGTTTTGGCAAGGTTTCATGTTGTTAGTGCAAGAATAAGTAACCCTGCAAAATGCTACATACATAACCTTAATATAGAAATGTGAACGATTTAAGTCTAATCCATTTATATATTTGTTTCATTATACTTTGTAAGCAAACAATTTCAATCCATATTTAAATGTATCTTTAGCAAAACTAAACATTTCATGCCCTTTATGAGAGGTACGAAGCCTCTAAAAACATGTTTAGCTGCCTCTGCCTCGCTCCCAGGTTAGTTAGTTAGTTAAAGAAACACAAGGGAAACACAGGAGGAGAGAGCGAGGGGGATAAAGGTGAGTAATAAATGCTTAAGAGAAAAGGACAGAAAAAAGAGAAGGTAAAGGAAGCTAAATCAATTATAAAAGGGATCAATAACCAGTAGCACAGAACACTATAGTCCTAAAAAGGTGGAAAGCGCAGAGGTGGGCTGTTCTTGCCGGCGGCTGGGCCTCCTGTAGCGACAGGGCGAATCGGATAGGCTCAGACAGAAGGGGAAGAAGGAAGAGGAGGAGGAGGAGGAGGAAGAGGAGCAGAGAGGAAAGCCAGAATTACTGTCCTACAGAGGAAAAAAAGATGAAGTGGAGGGGCGGGAGGGGGAGGTGAGTGAGATGAAGGAGAGACGGAGAGACATTAATATAGTTTTAATATTAATGCTACACTCTTACATGCGGGTGTATTAATAATGTATTTCTGGAAATGTAAATGTTGTTACTAATCACATCAGTTGGGGCATGATGGTAATTTCTTCCTTCTTTTTCCCTGTGATTAAACGCAGGCCTTGTGTGAGCCGGGGTGTGTACGAGTTCATGTTCATTAGCATTAAAATGTCATTTTGTTTTGTGTCTGCAGCTTTGACAAGTGCATCCTAATTAAAGGTCCAGTGTGTTCACACTTGTTAACAGAGATCCATGGCGCAGAGACAACACGCAGGCTATGAATACTAATTGAGACACGTATGGTACCTCCTGCTTAAAATAGGGCCCTTTTTTAAATAATCAGATCTGTGAATAAGACTTAGAAGAATCCTACCCTTACCAAAGAGCATGATCAGTGAACTATATAGGCCTACACATTGTGCATATCAATTTCCCAGAAATAAGCTTCCAAAATAATTTAACTGATAAGGACGAAATAAATTGCTTTTAATTTGAAATGTATCAGTGGTTGTTCCCTTTTGTTCTGTGATCCAGAGATTTTTGGCAAGACATTTTGGGAAATATGTCTATTCACTTTGTTCCCTAGAGTAAGCAGAGAAGATTGATGCCACTCTCGTGTCTGTATGCTAAATATAAAACTATGGCCGACTGTTAGCCTAGCTTGACCTACTGTATAGTGTGTGGGAAAATGTTAGCTTATCAAGCAAGCTTTGTTATATTTCTGTTTTTTGTTAAAAAAATAAGATAGGCCTACAGACTGTTATTTACTGAGCTAAAAAAGTCTTGGTAGGCATATTTTCATGATTGTTTTGCTTTCCGACACAGCCAAGCTAGCATTTTCTTACTGCTATATTTATATTTATGCCAAGCTAATCGCTTGCTAGCTTTAGCCTTACTTAACAGACAGACAAGCAGGTGCATAAACTTATTTCCCAAAATGTCAACCTATTTCTTTCAATGATTTTAAATTCTTTGTACAGCCATTCCAGGGACAATCAAAAATACAATTTAACAGTGATTTTACTTTTTTTTCTTTTTAAATTAAGTATCACACTACAGTATTTGGGGAATTGAGCCTTTTTAAGTGCAGTGGGTTTAAATTCACCAGTGATCCCTCAGTGACAGAAACCAACTATTTTATCTTACCGTCAGTCTCTCCATGCTCTGACATGGATGGGGGATCTACTGTACCTGCAGTGAGCCAAGTCAACCAATCAGATTGACAGCAGCAAAGAAAAGTTTGTTTCTACAGCTGATAGATATCTGTTTCGCCTACAGTCTTATTTTTTTCCCAACAGCACTTTCACAATACTTCCAACTAGATGTGTAAACTATTGATTTTCTCTCACATGTATGACAGAGAAATATGGTCCATCTGAGGAAAATGACTTGAGATTTACTCACATTGCTGGCTGGGGTCTGATTCTGTTGTCATCTGGACATAATTGGTGGGCAGCAGGCCTGTGACCCCATTGACGTCTCCTTTCCACCAGTCAGGGTTGGTCTTGTCCAGGACGCTGATCAGCTGACCCTTGGAGAAGCTCAGCTCATCCCTATTGGCAGCAGTGTAGTCGTACATTGCAATAACTTGGCACACTGCGGGTGCAAAGACATAAATCTGGTTTTATAAGGATGTGAGTTTAAGCAACTTGGTTAGTTAGATGGCTCTGTTTGAAATATCTCAACTGCTGTTAGATGGATAACCCTGAGAATTATTTTACATTTATGCTCCCCAGAGGATAAATCATGCTGCTTTTGCAGAGCCCCTACGATGATGTCAATCTGTTGACAATACTGATACTTTAAGGTTTCCTGGAATACTTTTAGTACAAAATATAACAGTATTTGCATATTTTTAAAGTTAACAACAATGCTGTGCACTGGTAAAATGACAGATACTACATTATGCAATTCTGAGTTAGTCATTTATAACATCTTGGTATATTTTAGGGGAATATGTCAAAATAAGAGACAATAATTGTCTATGTGTCTGCTTGGATATGTAAGACAGAAACCAATCAATAATTGTGTTTTAAGTGTGTGTGCCATCACCTGGCAGAGGGGAGGGAGAGGACTTGCTGCTGGAGGGCCCGAGGAGCTTGACGTGAGAGGAATGGAACCAGCCTCTCTGCCGCTTCTTCCCTCGAGCCTGGAGGGAAAAGAGAGAGTAAATCAATCTCCTGCTGCTTCCCCTCTGGATTATTTATCCAGACTTGAATTGATGAATTTATTTGGTCGTGCAGAGTTCTGAGAATTGATATGGCTTCATAAATTCGACCAAAGCGCAGCCTCAAGTCTGAATGACTAAATGATTGCTGTCAAAAGTTGAATAGACTAATATCCTGATTTGCTTTACCGAGGGCCAAATGAAATTTGACAAAGCTGTGGTAATCATCTTTAATTCAAATTTTGTCTGAACTTTTCTGCTTTGTCTCAGCTTTTCTCATTACTGTGTCAAACTGAGAGCTTAACCAGAGCTATAGTGGCAGCCTCAGCACAAAAGTGGAGTGAGGATTGATCGCTCACTCCTACAGATGTATGACCTGAAGACAACCCTGTTATTACTCCTGTTACCTCCTGTCCACCTCTCACAAAACCTCCATTGATCTGACAAGTCAGCAGATACAACAGCATCCACAGAATAAGCTTTGTTGTAGTGGTACATTTACCTACATTGTGTTATTTATTTGTAATTTCTCTTTTACATTTTCAAAAAAAAATGAGAATGATACTTTGGTCATAAAGCATGCCATTTTTTTTTTTTTTTTCATACAATTAAATATTTATAGTTCTTCAAACAGAGAAAGAAAAGACTTTCAGTGTGGCTATTCAAATACATCCCACATTGAAGGAATAGCCAATTCATTGCTGCAATAATAATTGATCTTGAACTGCACATCAGCATTTAAGTACGAATGAATCAGAGTTATTGGCATTTTAAAGCTTTGCATATAAACTACATTCATAAAAACGACATTAAATCGAAATGGGCTGTAATCACTGACCTGCAGTTCCCCGAGCCACCAGCCAGTGGAGTTCTTGGCCAGCACCACGATCAGTTGCCCTGGAGACAGACGCAGCTGATGCGTCGTCGGGGCGACGGTGGTGGAGACTGCCTGGGCGATCTCTGTTGGCCAAACAGATACAGCTGAGGATGAATTTAGATCAGGTAAATGTCAAGAGCATAACAGAATTAATAAGAAGGCCATTCTTTATTTGTGTGGAGTGTGTGTGTGTGTGTGTGTGTGTGTGTGTGTGTGTGTGTGTGTGTGTGTGTGTGTGTGTGTGTGTGTGTGTGTGTGTGTGTGAATCACTGACTCACCAGGCTTTTTGATCGAAGCTCCAGCCTTTGTTCCCTGAAATAAAACAAGTTGTATTTTATTAACAAATAACTAAAATAATTGCATTCAAAAACAAAATAAAACTATGTAACTTTAAAAAAAAATAAAGATGATTAAATATATATTATTGTATAATCCTTAACTTTATTTATAGTTCATAGCTCAAAGGCCCTTATCAAAAACATTTAAAAGGGAAAAAATATAAAGACAATAGACAGCAGATGCAAAATTAATAAATAATGCAATTCAATACATTATTTTTAAAGATTATATGATGCTTTTTTACTTTAAATGGCTCGTCTCACCTCTGGTTCTACAGGTCGGACATAGTTGGAGGGAAACACTCCCGTATGATCCCCGATGCATCCACGCCACCACTCTCCCTCTCTCTCTGTCACCATGACAACATCTCCCTCAACAAACGTCAGGTCCCCAGCCTCTGGGCTCTCATACGTGTACAAGGCCACAAACTCTGGTTACCATAAAATACAGGAGTGCAAGTCAGAGCCAAATATCTTACAATATGAATATGAAATACACGTGCCACAGATAAACTACACCTACCCTCTAGTTGAACCGAATCACATGTGTCAAATGGATCCACACTAGAAGGGGAAAAACACAGTCAATGTACTCTAAGCAAGAGTAGACAATATAAGGTGTGTTTGTGTGTGTCTTCATACTCTGTATTGCCACCCATCTCCAAAGTGACGTAGCTCTTGGGGAACCATCCCTGTGTCCCATTGAGCTGCCCCAACCACCAGTCTTCCCTCTGCTGCTGCACGCTGATGATGTCACCCTGGGAGAAGCTCAGCATTGGGGTTATGACGTCACCCGCCCCGGAGGAGAGGTTGAGGTGAGTTTCCGATGTGGCAGACCAGGAGGAAACAGCTCGAGCCAACAGAGGGAAGAAGGACTGAAAAGTAGAGAAGCAAAGTTGTACATCAAGCACCATGGAGTAAATGATTGATTGAATCAAGGAAACCATGAAAATCATCCTCAAGGCCATTCGTCTAGATATAGAGATACTTCAAATATCTCAGATCACATCACACTTCATCACCCTGACCATGAGTCCTACTAACACTAATGTCATCTATTGGGAGACGGAGATCTGTAAATGCTTGTGTGACCCACAAAATGGCCAAGAAATAGAAGAACTCTCAATAGGGAAAACTATAAATAAACATCCGGCTGTTGTACTGGAGAAGGATGTGTGTGTGTTGGTGTCAGCAGCAGTGTATGTACACAAGCCAGACCTAGTTAGTTGCCTTCCAAAGCCTGTTTATAGCTCAAATAACTATGAAGGAAGGGAACATGACACTAACAGGAAACATAGCGGATCCAAATATGTTTCATGCAATGTTATTTTAAAGTCAAGGTAAGGTTTAAAATAACACGCTTTATAGATATTCCTGGGGTTTGTCTTTTTTGCCTTTGGGTTATATTGCTATTGCTATTGTTCTAGGAGCCTAGAGTAAAATATATATCAAACTTTACCTGTGAAGTGTCTGCTTGGGCAGAAACAGTGCTGTCATCTGCTACCTTCCCATCTAGGTCTCTGGGTAAAAATGGAGGGACAAACACTTAGAGAAGAAGCAAACAAGAATCAAAACTCAACTAATACAGAATAAAACTGTAATATTTTTAGTGTAGGGAGACAGAATGTAACAAATACTTTTTCTTTGGGATATTTCAGTTACCCTGTGTTATGTGGTATTGGCGGTGGACAGGACATTTTTCCAGGTAAAGAAGCTGGAGGCTCAGTGGTGGAGGTAGAGGGAGTGTGGCACTTCTCTGCGTAACTCTGGGGAAACCAGCCCCTTTTTCCATTGAATCTCCCACACAACCAGCCAGGCTCACCGACAGTCTGCTCATCCACCTGCATCATGGAAAACACACCTTATATCAGCAATTGCAAGACATAGAGGATGTTGTTTCCTAACACAGCAATCATACACATGTAGTATTTTTAGAGATCCATCGGACACCTGCTTTACTGTCATTTTTATTTTTTGGCAGATCAGACAACTCTCTTTTTTTCACTTGACGATGTTGGTTTCTGTCCTGCATCTTGTGCCAAGCAGATAGTAATGACATATTTTAGTAAAACACAGATTCTAGTAAGCTAACTGCTAGAAATACAATCATAGTCATATTAGCTAATTAGCTTAGGCTAGCAATTATAAAAGCAGTTACCGTACTCTTTTACATAAAAGTAAACAATGTGTAAATGTTCGGTTAAATCGTTGTTTTTTTGTGTGATATTTGTTACTTTCTTTTACTTACATTTAACTATCATATGTAATGTTGTCTGTGTGAAGTAGCCGAGTGGTGATGCTAATGATAGCTAAGATGTTGTCCACAGTAAACATACTGTAGTCTATCCCTGACAAAAATGACTGAATAATTTCTTTTTTGGGGCTTTGTTTCAGCTGGTAAATCAATCCCTGGAGTTATATAAAGAATAAGCAGAAAAAGCATCCACAAAAATGGGACTTCAGGATTTTTGATGAATGCGGCAAATATTAAATACTGAAATATATACATGCCCGCATCTCATGGTAAATATGTAAATGGAAATCTGTTGTGTGTTTACAGTGTGTGTGTGTGTGTGTGTGTGTGTGTGTGTGTGTGTGTGTGTGTGTGTGTGTGTGTGTGTGTGTGTGTGTGTGTGTGTGTGTAGTACCTCTATAGTGCCGTCTGCGTCTATACTCAGCTCATCTGCGTTTCGGGCCACAAACGAGTACAGAGCTCTATACGGGGTCAGCTTTGAGGATGGCTGAGCCACCAACACCGGCTGCTGTTCTCCTCTTTCCTGCTCCTCTTTCCTCCTTATCCTCTCCTTCACCTCCTCTTGCCGTTTCCTTTCCTCCTCCACCTGCTCCCTCTTCTTCTTTTCCTCCTCCTCCTGCTCCCTCTTCTTCTTTTCCTCCTCCTCCTGCTCCCTCTTCTTCTTTTCCTCCTCCTCCTCCTCCTCTCTCCTTCTTCTCTCCTCTTCCTGAGCTTTCTCCTGAGCTGCTCTGAGGCGAGCTTGTGCCTCCCTCTCCTCCTCCTCCCTCTGCCGGGCCCTCTGCTCCTCCAGGAGCCTCCTTTGACGCGCCTCCTCTTCCTCCTTCTTGATCTGCTCCTGCTCTCTCCTCTCTTGATCTAGCTTTGCTTTTCTGTGGAAAGAGAAAAGCAACTTTGTCACAGAAAATGTGTTTAAAATGAAGGTCACTTAAATTATCTAGAGAGTAAAACATCAAGTATGAGTAATTTGCAGCCACACTCACCTGGCTGCCTCTTCTTCCTCCCTCCTCTTCCTCTCCGTCTCCTCCTCCTTGCGCCTCTGAAGCTCCCTCACTTTCTCCTCTTTGACTCTGTGCAGGTCGTCGAGGACAGCCTGCTGCCTCACCTGCTTCTCCCTCAGCTCCTGATGCAGCAACATAATGTACAATGCATAAGAGAGTAGGGCTGCTCGATTGTGGCAAAAATCATAATCTCTATGATTTGGGTCAATAATTGTAATTGCGATTATTAAATGTGATTATTCATTGACTTTGAAAACATCCATTTATTGGAGAAAAAAAAAAGTGAACAGTATGTTTTGAACAGTTGATTACCCTGAACTTTAAGTATAATTCAACTGAAAAAAAATTATAAAAAATTATTAAAAAAAAAGAAAAAAGTAATAATAATAATACAAAAATAATAGTTTTATTTCGATTACGTTGTTTTCGTAATCGTTGCAAGCCATAATCATAATCGCGATTAAAATACGTTTAATTGAGCAGCCCTATAAGAGAGGCATCAAATCAAGCATGGTTCAGTCTAACAATGCAGAAACAGTGTTATGATTCGCCAAAGCACAAAACAGCTGTATGCAAGCTTTCATTCTGCTGCTACAAACACAACGCAGCCAAGGTAGTGGATGTGCAGTGCTGTCTTTTACATGTGTGTGTCAAAATCTATAGAAAAAAGTCCAGGTGCTGCAAAACATACCTCTATGTACATATGAGGTCATTTAACATCATACCTGCTTGGTGCACTAGTACAAACATGCAATACTGAAAAACACACCAACACTGACAGACACATGCAGTTGTGTGTATATTATACAAGCAGATTTCTTTTCTCCCATTGCTAATACAGCAATTGTGCAGGTTAAGCATTCTGTGTGTGCTTTTTACCCTCAGGGTGCAACCTGTTTACAGAGAAAACACAGGCTGGAACAAATTCCATGGAGAAAAACAACAACAAACTAATGGAAGATCAGAGTAGAGCTCCATCTAATAATGAGTCGTAGAATAAGAAAGAAGAGGAGGATTGAAGATTGTGGACTGGGGGAAAACCATAGACTGTATAGGGGAAAACAAGAGGTGAGATGACAAAATAATAAATAAGGGGGTGGTGATAAAGATTACAAAGTGGGGGGGACAGAGAGGAAGAAAGATAACCTTGATGAGAAGGAAGAGCTGGCTGAGGCAGGCCAGCAGAGACAGAAGGCCTCGCAGGACACAGTCATCCATATCCCCCAGCTATGAGCGAAACACCGTGCGATGATGGAGGGAGGCAAAGCAGTGGAGTAGAGACGGGGATGATCAAAAGGTATAATAAGTGTGATAAAGAAAAACGGAGAAAAACAGAAATGGGAAGTGAATTCATAAGAAAGACATCCAGGTAGAGGAAGCAGCGGAAAAAAGAGACAGAGAAGAAAAAGTAAGGCGTTAAAAGCTTTAAAGAGCAGGGAGGAAAGGGAAACAGTTAAACAGACCAAAAGAGAAATAGTGAGTATTAAATTGACAATTGATACACTGGGAGGGAGCATGACATCAATCATCACAGCAAGTATTGAATTTGTGTACACCTGAGTATGGATGTGGGCAATAACTTTGCCTGAGGGGTGAAACTCTAAAGTTACCCTGAGCAGCCGAATAAGATTTCACAGCAGTGTGAAACTGCCTTTTTCTGCTTTATTCCAATAAACCATAGTTGAAGGATAGAAAAAAATCCAGCTGCTGCATATTGGTGCCATAAATCATGCAGTGGTGCTGCTTTTTTCTTTGTCGTATCATCCCTTAAATACCCACTTCTATGCCGAAATATAAGTCAATACATGTCCCCCCAAAAAGCTAGGGCTTCAAGATGAGAAACGACTACTATACACCAGTTGATCATCTTTGCCTGCATTAAGATGAAAAACAGTTAAAAATACATCTCAAGTAGCTAATCAATAAGTCATGTCGTCATTCATCAGTACACAACTTCCACCATTTTGGGTCTGAAACCACTCTGACCTGGCTCTTCCAGGGCTAATTTGGGTTGTGTATGAGTTCAAATAGTTTCATCTCCTTTGATTGGGGCTAAAAAGGTCGTCACCATCCTTCATTTCCTGCACTTGTCTGTACCCACTGACCTTAAGCTCCTTGTTGTACTGCTCCATCTCGGCCAGTTTGTCGGTTGTCTCCCTCTCCAGAGTGTCAAGCTGGTCCTTCAGCCTCCGGCATTTCACTCCTTTCTCGTTCACACTCCCGCTCACAGAGGTCAGAGTCACGGCTGCAAGGCAAACATCAAAGATGTCAGAAAAAAGTGAGAGAATTCCGGCGATGCGTTCTTGTTGTGCCACCAGGCGTTAGTCACCCACAGGAGATTTTGTTGAGGTTGAGGCTCCGCAGCTTCTCTGTCAGCCTCTGCTGTTCTGGGATCAGGATGGAGAGCTTCTTCTGCCAGTCCTACAAGTCACAGAGGCACACACAAGCAGAGAATGAACAAAATGCAATTATTGAAATGTTTGACACGGAAGGGAAGTGGAAAGTCTTTAACCTCGAACTGAAGCTGCAGCGTGTTGATCTCTATGATGCGCGCGTCTCTCTTCTGATTGACGAGGTCAACCTCTGCCTTCAGGATCCGCCTCTTGCTCTTGGCGTCACGGAGACAGTCTGAGATCTGCTTGTGCTTGTTGCCCTGCGAGACCGGGGGTAATTGATATCAGTGTCCCTGTTGTCTTTTGCCAGATTGTGATGGCACATTTCTGATTGTTATTTCAGTCTCACCACAGCCTCCAGCTCCAACTCCAGACCCTTCTTTTTGGCCCTCAGTCTGGAGATCTCCTCCTGCTCTCCCTCTTTCCTCATGCCCAGTTCCTCTCTCTTCCCACGCTCCCACTCCTCCCTGCGTTGGCGCTCCATCTCCTGCTTCGCCGCCTTAAAGCATGAACACACATGGTCACCTGACAAACTAGAGGTTCAGCGTCTCACATGATGCTTCTATCACTCACCTCCATCCTCTCCAGCTCTCTCAGCCTCTCCTCCTCTCTCTGCCTCTCCATCTCTCTCCGCCTCTCCTCCTCCAGCCTCCTGCGGCTCTCCTGCTCCCTCGCCTCCTTCTCCCTCCTCTCATGCGCCTCCCTCTCCTCCTTATCCCTCCTCTCTCGCTCCTTCCTCTGCTCCTCTTCCAGAGCCAGGCGACGTTTCTCCAGCTCGGCGCTGCCTCTTGCAAAGTTCTCCTTCAGCCTGTCCTCGTAGGACACTGAGCGGAAGAGAACATACAGGAATGTTACAGAGGAAGAGCCCTTACGTTATAAGAAAGCATTTTGTGTGCAGGAAATGCCATACCATTGTTGATGTTCTTTTGTGAAGGTAGTATCTCCAGCGTGTCGATTAAACAGGGAGTTATGTGAGGCCCCGTTCCATTAACAAGCTCAATGGGCTGGAATCCTCCTCTGAAAACCAACAAATGTATACCTCTGTTATTGCAATTTTAAATAGAAATTCAATTGAAAAGTGTATAAATACAGTGTATGTTACCTGACAGAGGGAGGTACCAAGTCTTGAGGCAGGGTGAGGGGTAAAGGTCGGCCAGTTTTAGCCATTTCCACCAGGTGCATGGCCAGAATGAACTCATCAGCTTGGAGCTGTCCGTCTTTATCCACATCTGCCAGAGTCCTGCGGAAGTAAGGAATATAGTAACTCAAATAAAGCAATACAGAATATCATGATTTGACAGCAGGATATATTTTTTTGGAAGGAGCAAGACAAGCTGTTAACATTGACAAATTATCACCTTGTGAAGTTGTTATTTGGAGTGAGATCGCAAACAGATTTATTTACACATCCTGCACAGACCTGTCTCTTACCATCTGGTCCTAGACTCACTGATGCTGTACGATTTATCATTTTTTTTATTCTCATCGGGATGACAACTTGTGTAATAAACACATCGCAAAAAACTGAGATTTCGCACTTTTTGTTAATTAGTTGAAAGAGAAGAGAACTGCACTTTAAATGACTTTTTAAAGAATTGACAGTTTTATATCTCATAATTTATCGCAAGTAACATCTTCCTCATATCTTGCTGCCCTGGTTTGCTTTTTTGTTTTGCTGGGTAAGAAGTGTAAGGTCTGTTTAGAGTATTTTGATTATGATATCATAGAGAGTAAATTGAAACAATTTGCTAAAAGACACTAAAAAATGCTCCAATAAGTTATTTGGATCGATGTTTATAATACAAAAAATAATGGGAAGTGAATCAGGAGTAATATTTAAGATAATCTCCAATGATTTTTGAATTTCCAACATCATTTAAATTACCTTTTCCTTACATATAAACCAACAATGTATTTTTGTTAAATAATATTGGCATTCATTAATAGTTCTAATTGCCTTTTTGTACTGTAGGCCATCGGAATACTTTCCATATTAAATAAAAAACGAATATATCACTATGTTATAAACTATAAAATTCTATATATTGTGATAACACAATTATGAACTCAAAAGGGCAACCTATACTCACCAGATGGTGGCGAGTTGAGTCTGGGTGAGGTTGGATGCAATCAGCGCGTTTCTAACCTGAGGGCCTGCAAGGTAAAGCATTATCAGAATTAATAACAGATTGAATTCCTGCCAGCTGATTTGAAAATGTTTGCTACCTCTTACCACCACATTCTGTCAAGTGGGGCTAAGATCAACAACAAGGGTACATGTGTCTGAAGTGATGCTGACCCAGCCTATGCTCTGTCAAACTTTGAGAGGGCCTCTCATGAGCAGCCCTGCACTCAACTTGTGTTTATTTAGTGTGCACGCACAGTATCTGTGTGCGTATGGGACATACCAGATAAGTATCCACTCATGAGCTTGTCCAGCGTGTTGAACTGCTGGCGGTACTTGAGTCTCGCGCCCTGCGGAACGCCCCAGTCACTTGCACTCGTCTTCGGAGAGTTACTGGCCAACGAAGTGGTGGAGGAAGAATTTGAACTGCGGGATAAAAGAAAAAGAGAGTCACGCCAAGAGATCACCTAAAGGGAACTTACAGAATAATAATACGAGGTCAGCGATTCCTTATTTCTCCCCTTGTTTTCAAGCCTCGACTAAAAACCACAAATTGCATCGGGACTCCCTGGCGTTATCTCTTAATTAGCGCTAGAGGAAGCGAACGGCCTCGTAGACAAGGACTCTCTGAAACGTGCTCTCAGGCTATGCTAATCAGCCGCTCTGTTTTTATTACAAACATTGCCTCTGCAAGAATAGCAAAGGCTGGGTCGTTGATGTTCATTTGAAAAGAATGTGCTTATTTTCTGTCATTATAGCCGGGTGGAAACTCGCTACCCTCCTCTGAAATAGAAGAGGTTTCAGGGAAACAATGGGAGATGCAATGTGGGATCCTCCCTCTGCCCAAGGGCTTTTTTGTTTTGCATTTTAGTGTGTGTCCCTTATAACTTGTTATTGGTATGGAAAAAACAGCAAAGTGTCAAGCATTATTGAATATAGTGTCACATTTAGAACTTGAAGGTTGGATTTACAGTATATGGGTGGATGTGGGTCAACCTGTATTTTCCTTCTGCACTCCTGATGCCCTTATTTATGCCAGTTTTACCATCTACACCCAGGGACAGGACAAACACAAGGACATCTAAAACAATATATTCAAAATGAAACCAGATACTAATCCTATCCCTTCCCCAAACTGCACAATAAGAAGGATATTAGATACCACATATTGTGTTTTTTTAAGGGAATCTAGCTGTTGCTGAAACTGCCCAAAACCTTCCAGCCGTTGGTTTCCATTCCAGGCAGAGATCAAGTGCTTTGTGCAAAAACACAAATAACGTTTTTCTGTCATTGTTGTAGGACTGCAAAACCCCTCCAGTCGCCATATCATATTACCACTTTCCCTTGAGACACAAGCTAGCATTCAAGGCTAATACCATGTGTGATAATTAGCATTTCATGTGACAAACCCCAACTGGTCACGCAAACAACAGTGCACGTCTATATACTTTAGTCCACTATCTACAAGTTTGTTGAATTTGTTTTGCAGACCTCATCTGAAATACAATCTGTCTTACATTTTATGAGATTAATATTCTTCAGCTAAACTAGCCGCTCTATAGTGCTTTACATACTGTAGGCGAAGTACTGCACAGTGGTGTTATGAGCTAAATGGGGCATGAATGTCAGGGCAATCCATCTAGTAATTGCCCAAATATTCCCTCAAAACTTAAAAAGTGAACCTTATGGTGGTGCTAGATGAAAAGTCAGAGGATTACTAATATCAATAGACGTTAACCTCTAATGAACATAAATCGTTGCCCAAATCCAAACGGTAGTTAAAACAGCAATGAGGATGTCCTAGTATGGCTACTAAAAACTAGATTAAAACGTCAGTAATGGTGACCTCGCCTTGAAAGAATGCCATTTGACTCTGATGTTTGTGCTTCTAAACAAGCCCACTTCCTATTGTAGCCAGCTAGAACATCTGATTTGAAAATGCCCTTCCTGCTCCCTGTGTTATCAACGTGTTTCATCTCTGCCTGCATTCTGATCACCAACCCTCCCCTGAAAGAAACTATGCGTCTTTGTGAGCACTGGGCTAAAGGGCTGGTAGTGACTCAGAGCATTTAAACAGGCATATCCCATAATCCCTGCTCCAAAAATGGTGCCTACTAGAAATCTTCACATTTTATATACTTAGAAATTGAGGCCTTTATTCTAAATGTATGTTTCAGGAGGAGTTGGATGGGCAGACAAACATCATTAAAATTGTCCAAAATGTTCAAGACATGCGAATTTGGGGGAGATTAGATGGTTGTATTTGCAGTATGGATTTATTTCTCACCTGCTGGATCCGAGATCAAGAAGAGAGTTGGCCTTTGACATGCCGGTGGATGGAGAGAACGCCATGGGAGAGGAGAAGCCAGAGAGAGGGAGCGCTGCAAGCATAGTTAGAGGCAGTTAGTTTAAAATATTATGTTTGACAAACTCACGGTAATATGAGAGAAAACAGTGCTTTTGTACACGCATGAAAACACATACATGCATGTGCTTTGACATACTGTAGAAGTAGACAGAGTGCAGTTGCCCTTGAACGGCTGTACATGTAATCTTATCTCCTCATACTTTACAGTGGCAGCACACATTGCTCCAGCACCAAGGTTATTGACATCTGGGTAAAAACAAACCGGTGGCTGTTATTCTGGAAAGCTGTGGCCCTGATATACTTTCACCCCGGGGATAAAGATTGAGGAAATGCCAAATAATAGAGAAAGTTCACACTCATGCACATTTCATAGCCAACCATTGTACATTAACAGAGTGAGATAAAGACAGCAGCCAAAGGAGATATGGGGAAGTGAGAGACGAAGAGTACAGGGTGAGATAGAATCCTCAAAAACTGACTTATTGAGTATGTATACATTATATATGTGCACCTGCCACCGGTGCTGAAGCAGCTGTTTCTGCGTACATACCAATACTGTAGGCTATATTATACACAGATGCTTCCATATTGCATTCAAGTCTGATACAAGACCTCAGGGAGTAGGTAGATAGGGTTCACCGCTTTCATCTTGCATGTGCTATCCACACCACATTAACACTGCAGCATTTACGCACAAGACCTGAATCTATAAACCATTCAAGCCTAAGATATGTCTTAAGAAGATGCTTTCCAATGTAAACAGGAAGTAACTGCAGCATCCTAAGAGGTCAAACATAAGGAATTTGTTTAAGCCAGTGCTATGTTACATTTTATTAAAAATACTTGGAAATAGGTGGATATTTTTTTCAATTACAAATGAATGAGTGTGCTTCAGAGTTGGTATAGTAGTATTTACTCTAAAGCAAATCATGTGTGAAGTTTGTGTTAATTTAATTAGATACTATTAGCATATTGTTCTGTAATTTGAGATGTATTGTGTTATTTTATGTAAACACATTCAGGTTCTTTTGTCAGGTTTCTACTAGAAGATGCCCCATGCTTTTGTGTTACTGTACTCGCAATTCAAAGCTGCTCATATGTTTCAACTTAACGTAGCTTTGTCAGTCTGTTCAGTTAGACATGTAGAGCCTGGTAAGTGCTTGTTTAAAATATTTAGCAAACATTTTTTTGTAGAACTAGATTGTGTGATTTTACCATTTTAATTTAGTGATGCACAATCTCCATTTTGTAAACATTAGAGTTATATAGAGTTATAATTAGACTAATTAGTACCTAAAAGAAGCTGGTGCATCCAATGTCCTTGGCAAGTTCTGAGTAGATAAACAACTGGAGATAATTCCCAAAAAGAACAAGTATAAGCATTTTTCTCATTGTACACACTACCTGTATCTATGTCCCCAGCTGTAATGCTATGGTAATAGCTTTCATTGTATGTGCAGAAGTTAAAATCGATAGCACAAGCTTCTTATCTATGCTGCAGTTCTTTTATCCGTCTGTCTTCTCCTCTTAGTTCAAGAAATATACCCGTTTCTCTGGAACATAATCCAACATCTACACTCTACATTCACATTCTTGATCCTGGGATAAGATTGAATGAATTGGTGCTAATACACTAATCAATATCTATCTTATTTTGTCTCATGAGCGAATCAGAATGGTTCCACTTCAGAACCAACCTGCATTGTTGGGAACTAGCGGTGGGCTGAGGAGGTTGATATTGCCGTTGTGGAGTCCACAGTTTCCGAGGCAGTTGATGAGGGGCAGAGTCATTGGCGTTGGCAGCAGGGAGTGCAGGGAGTGCATGGAGGGGTTAGCCGGGATGGGTGTTAGGCGGGGCATGGCTGACATGGAGGACAGACCAATTGACAGGTTTGGCATAGAACCCATTCCTATAAGGGGGAAACCAACATGTGAACATGAACAGATCAGGAACACTGTTTCAGAAGACAAACTCAATTAAAGTACAATTTCGAAATGGGTAGCTTTTATTTAATAAAGAAAAACCCTAGCTGGTGCAAGTATTATTTGTGTCAATCAATGACTTAAACTGCCTATTATACTCTGAAAGCAACCACCATTTAGTAAAACCAGGGTCGTTTTTTCTTTTTTAAATAAATAAGCCTCCCATTTGAAAGTTTTACCATTCAAATATAATTTCCCTATGTGAAACAGCACTTTTAAGAGGTTAGGTTGTGGGAGTAAGAGTTAAATAAAATGTAATGTTTTGGTTAAGTTAGATTGTGGTTATTCAGTAATATGTTCTGATAAATCCTTACCAAAACCTGCTGATGAGCGGATAGTTGGAGCAGCATTGCAGACGGGCGTTTGCTTCATTGTGATCGGCAGGACAGATGGTAAGTTTCGCCCCTGGAGTTTGAGTTTGATCAGCTTCATAGCGATGGAGAACTCCTGTCTGTCCATCTTCCCATCGCTCTCCATGTCGGCTAGGTTCCTAAAGCAGAGGGAGGGAAAATAAAGCTGTTTAATATGATCTAGTTGTAGTGTGTATATTTAGTTTTTTTCTTCCTTTATTGACAGTAGAAAGGACAGGGTTACACAAGGTCCTGGTAGGATTGAAATCCAGTGGCGTTATTCACACCAACACTAAACCACACACACAGACTCTGTTCTAAATACATTACACACACAGTTTTCTGAGTAGGCTGTGAAGGAAGTGAGTGCTCAACAGGAAGTAAGAAGCAGGCCAAATGGGACCAAACTCACTCTGCGAAACAATGTGGCTGGTTGTTGCTTACCAGATTTCAGCCAGGACAGGAGCAGGCAGGCCAGACTGGAGGAAGAATTTCCTAGCTTGTTCTCCTGAAGATAGACCATAATCACCGTAATTCAGAAAGACAGGCATTTCAACAATTGAACCACGGATGACACTTCTGATTGTTTGTTATGACAACAGCCTACCTGAGACATAGCCAAGGACCGGGGCGAGGGAGTCAAACTGTTTGTCATGTTTCCCCCTCTCCTCGGGAGTAATGGCCCACACACTGGCTCCGCCTGGATAAAAATAACAAGACAAGCCTGTATTTTGAAATGTCTTTGCAATAATAATGAAGACTTTTGAAGTTGATTCACAGGGCTGCATCAATTAAGATCCAAATCAAAAAATGGCCAGGTACATTTTTTGCATTTTATACCTTTCTCTCCCCTCATGTTTCCTGTCTGTCACTGCACTTTCATACATCAGGGATATTAGGGAGAAAAAGGTTATATGATGATATCTTTTAAAAGAAAGTCAAGGGATCACCAAAGTGAAAAGATGAATCCTCTGGCGACCATGAATATCAAAGTCAACTCACAATCCTTTACAAGCTGTCCCGGGCACTGCTATGTCAAAGGAACATGAGTACAAAGAGATCCTGCTCTATGAGATAAGCTGCTACTTTTGTAGAGCCCTAAAGTCATAAATATGAAGGGATCATATTTTAGGAAGAATAATAGACAGAAAAAGCACATTTAAAAACATAATGTGTGGGCTGGGCTCCACTCCTAAACACACACAAATAGTGTGAAAAGCAGAAATGCTAAAACCAATTTCAGTATACATCGTTCTTTTCAACTTCACCAATCTGCATAATTTCCCCCCCGTATGAGATTTCCCCCTCAGATGAAAACACTCTTAACTAACTCCTGACAATGATTAATGTAGAAAAATGTCCGGTCAGCTTATTTTCACTCCGCTCCACTCTTGCATATCTCACGGTAACTTCAGGGTTGTCCATGAATTAAATATTAAGTCAAATATGCTGTGTGAGGAGTGTGAGACTCAATTCTTGCTCGATTCCACAAGACGTCTTTAATTGAGGTGGATGAAAGATTATCAAGTTGATGATCAATTAATCATAAAGGGAATCAGTGAAATGTATCAAATCATAACACGAGAAGGGTATACTTACAGCCTTCCCCTGCCATTTTTATTCCCATACCTTGAGAGCTCTGAATCCATTTTTAATTAAAGGGTTGACTATGTGGACATTGTGCAAAGATGGATCTCTACAAATGACAGTAATGGAAGGACAGATATAGATAAGAAAACGGTGAGATAATGACTACATCGTAGAAAGAGAAGGGGATTGATGTAAAAAATTGATCAATTAAAACTACAATAGCTGAGTGATGAAAGACTGTTAATTACATTAAGACAGAAGAAACAGCGATAAAGTAGATAGTATTAGATTGAAAACAACTGAATGAAAGAAAATAATATACTTTGTCTACGAGCACTTCAGTAGCCAAGTTCCTAAACAATTCATCATCTCTGCTCGACAGATGGCTGTAACTAAAGCGATCACAGCGATACAGTCCTCAAACAAAATGTTTGCACAGTCCGTCTGGTGCAAAAATAAAGACACCATGTTGAAAACGTTTCCTTATAACAATTTGCCTTCTTTTATTGTGATCTTATTATTAGTTTTAAGGTCAAATTGGTATGCAAATGTATGATCTACCAATTAATAACAGTACAATTTGTTTGATCAAATAAATAAAAAACACTGGCAAAAAGTAGCTGAATTTAACCTCAGAATGATAAAAAGAAAACTCTGGACATGTTGTTAGAGTGAAATAATTTATCAGGACTTGTCGCAAATAATCTACCGTAATTAGAGTCTCTGATGAGAAGCACCATCAAATTAAATGTGTGTGTGCAGTCTACAAAAGGATGGAATCAATTGTATAGATCTCAAAGGGTCTTTTATCCATGTAAAAAAACATTTAATAAAAATGAGGAAAAACTATGCAAAATCTTCCCAAATCTAGGTCGAAATGATATAAACATTAGCTGTCGTGTAGCTCAGTGGGTAGAGCTGGCCATTTGCTTTATATCATCCAACCTTCAACACTGTCACTTATATACATTTTAAACTGGTTCCCCCCCCAAAAAAGCTTATAAACACAACAAATGTTTAAATAGACTCTATAGATGTTGGTACATTGTTATGTTACTAATTTGTTTGACAGGATTGACTGCTAAGACGTTAGGGACACAGACTATCTGACACAGGAAGTTGCCTCTAAAGTTTAAACTCTTGGACTGAACAACGATATCATCAACATCAACATCAGGGGAGAGAGACTACTATGGCAGACACAAATTCAGACAGTAGAAATTAGTTGAATGAAGTTGTAGAGCTCAGGACATAAACTATAGTTGTAATATAGTGGCAGTGATATTGTTATTCGGTGAAATTATTTGTGCTATTATGGGTGCATTTCTTTATAGACCTCGTATCTAGGATGTAATTTATTCGCCAGCCTCAGGAAATACCACCCTGCCCATGATGGAACTTCCTCCCCTGCTCTAACCCAAACACTCTTGTTGACCGCAGTACATCCCTGAGGAATGACACAGACTCAGCAGTCCTTTATATGCAGCTAGCAGATGAAATGTTAATCTATATAGTTAAAGAAAGATTAAAATGTTATAGCCGATGTTAGCCTCACTGAGCAATCACTGTTTGTTAACAAACACTCTGGCTAACTGCCTTTAGCTGGTTTCAATATCTGATCATGCTACCTTGTCAGGTATATGATTTTTCCTCTGACAAAGCCAGACTTGCAGTGCCTGACCTAGTTTTGGCATTGTCAGCACAATGAAAAGGAAAAAGTAATTAATATCGCACCGAAAAGTGAGTATACTCCGCATTGTCTCATTGGCTTTGAAAGACCTCATTTAGAAGCTTTTGTAAGGGGGGAAATGTGGAGCCGATATTTAGCACAGCGCCACGGGACATGTCACTAGCATGGACACATTCACAGGCCTGTCAGTAAACTCTGTTTGAGTACGGTTTATCATTGAGGACTGAATCCTCTGTGAATTAATGGGGCAAAGCCTCTTACAGAGTCATGGAAGAATCAATAGGGGTCTTCTGTGGCTTGACATTTGTGCTGGAAAAAACTAACAGATATACAATGTGAGACCAGAGATAAAAATGCCAAGTAATTACAAATGTATTACAAATGTAGATTCGTTTTTGAGGCCAATGGTTTTTAATCTGTTTTTTAAAATAACTTTTATTTATAATACATAAAAAAAGGATTTCTTCTTCTCCTTGTTTCATTTCTTTACATTTTGGTAAAAGCCCTTTTATGTGAGAGGGTTGAAACCACTAGAACAGTGGCCACCAACTGGCGGCCCGCGGGCCACATCCGGCCCGCCAGACATTCTCATCCGGTCCGCACGACGGGGGTGACTGGCGTTTGCGGAGTGGTTGCTGCGTTCGCCCCCCACTCATTTTTTTTTATATACAACGTCTCGTGAGTAAGGTGCAGTACCGGAGTCCAACAGAGAGGCAGCAGCTGCGGGACAGTAGACTGCGTATTGCGAAACCTCCCCTGCCTTGAATAAGAAGGGATCCTTCGTTGTAAAGGCACCACAGCAGTAACCCCGCTGCGACATAGTCCAACAGAGAGGCAGGAGCTGCGGGCCAGTAGCCTAGAAGCAGGGTTGGGTTGTAACCTTTATATATACAGTCTATGATAGTAACGGAATACATGTAACGGCGTTACGTATCAGAATACAAAAATCTAGTAGGCTAACTGTATTCAGCTGGCGTTACATTTGAAAAACGAGTAATCTGATTACAGTTACTTTCGTAAACCTGAAGTGAATACATTTTGGAATACTTATTGGAATTATTGGTGGAAAAGTTTCCTCACAAAAGGTAATATTCATTACCGGCAGAACTGTGTGCACACTGCACAGCGCTGCAGCATGTCTGAGCAAGAGAGAGATGCAGCGTGTCTGTGAGGCCCCGCCCCCGCACGCAGATGAGACATCTCTTTTAAAATATATTGAAAGTTAGAAACGGAGATGGTTAGATAAAATGTGCAAGATAACGTTTATGTAGCATTTATTTATTGTCGAAATGATGACATTTCATAACGGGATCAAATCAAAGTGAATGGCCTGCTGCTGCTGAATGCATGGGGCAAGTGACTGGAAAAAGTTTTAAAAGTTATTACATCGTTTCAGATAATAAATAATAATGATAATTCATTCTATTTAGGGGCGCCTTTCAAAGCACCCAAGGACACCTTACAATTCATAACATATTCCAAGGAAAGGTTTTAAGACAGTACAAAGAATGCAGTCCGGGTGATGTTTTTTATGTGGGGTGCAGATGAGAGAGCTGTCCAGAATGACACCAAGATGTTGTGTTTGAGTTCTTGATAAGCCATTAAAACAGTAAAATAAGTGTTTCCTGTTCACCAAAACATACCCATTTGTTATGGAAAAAGAAATTATGCCAAAAGTATTCTAAAAGTAATCTGAATACGTTTAAGACACGTAACTGTAACTGTATTCTGATTACTTTCAGAGCATGTATTCAGTATTCAGTAACTGATTACATTTACAAAGTAACCCCCCCCGGCCAACAACTCAAAATTCTGAGCTAGATAAAAAGCGCTGGCCCGCGATAGTGTCTAATTGGATACATTTTGGCCCTTGGACAAAT